GGTTATGTTGGGTTTTACAGCAAATATTTTTAAATAATTTGAGTCTACCTTCTAATATTACACAACTTCACCTGTCATCTAAGGACCTGATAACATTATATTCTTAATTCTTCTTTCTCATCCCTGTGTCATTATTGTAATATATTACTGTTGTATATGCTATAAACACCTAATACATTGTTAATGTTATTGCTTTGAACTGTTTTTTTGTTTGTGTGTGTGTTTGTTTGTTTTTGAGACAGGATCTCACTTTGATGCCCAGGCTGGAGTGCAGTGGCTTGATCTCGGCTCACTGCAGCCTCAACCTCCAGAGCTAACATGATTCTCCTACCTCAGTCTCCCAAGTAGCTGGGACTACAGACATGCGCTACTACGCCTGGCTAATTTTTGTATTTTTTTGTAGAGATGGGGCTTTGCCATGTTGCCTAGGCTGGTCTTGAACTCCTGGGCTAAAGCGATCTGCCTGCCTCAGCCTCTCAAAGTGCTAGGAATACAGGGGTGAGCCACTGTGCCTGGCCTGAACTGTCACTTATTTTTAGAGCAATTAAAAATAAAAATATAGATCATACTTTATAGGCAGTTTTAGAGCAGAGGAATGTCATGGTCCTTTTAAAATGTAAATCCTGTCACTGGTTGCTTTAATGGGGAAGCAAAGAGACCAGCTAGGAGGCTGGTGCAGTAATCTAATTGAGACATAGTGGCTTGTTCCAAGGTCATGTTAGATAACTCAGAAGGGTTCACTAGATAAGACATCCAGAAATCCTTTTTGTCTGCTTCAGAGTCTCACAATTTTTCATGACAGCTGAAATATTTAGATCTAAAGCTACCACGAACTATCTGAATAAGATGTTCATATTAAAACACTAAAAACATGACCAGTAATCCTTGTTGACCTCATAGTTCAGTTAGAAATAATCACAGTAATTGGCATCATCATTAGATAGAGGGACAAATAGTAGTGTTTAACAAGTGCATTGTCAACATTGTAATTTTTAAAAAATTTAGTAGTGCTTAGTAAGTGCGTTGTCAACATTGTAGTTTTTTAAGGGTTTTTGTTCGTTTAATACATATGAAAAGAATGCATAAACAAAGAATTGAGACATGAGAAAGCATTGGTTCAACACTAATGAAGCTACAATAATTAGGATTTGGAAAGGTGGAAAAGATTGCCTAAACACTTTTAAAAATTGGAAACTGCAACCAAAATAAGCTGATAAAAATCCCTGTTAACACTTATGAATAGTCTTCAGACTCTTCCCATGATTTTTATTAAACTAGAGAGCCTCACCTGGCTGCTCTAGGATTCTTCATATGCAAAACAGAAATAAGGGGATTCCCCTGACAGTTCCCCATGTTGTTCTTTTCCCCACCCCCACCCGACCCTGAGCTTCTTAATGAAGCAGGCCTCCATCCTCCTAACTTGAGAGGATGTGAATCATTCCACAGATGTCTGTCTTCTAGCACCACCCCTCATATTTCCTCTACATACCAGGTCTTCAGTTGTGTTCCAGGAACACCATATACTACTGAGTTGCAAATCTATGTCAAGCATATAAGACAAACATTTAGTCTTTTTAAATTTAAGATTATCCACACATTAATCAAAACGAATGCATTTGTCCACTTTTTTGTTGGAAAATTATTAGGTCATTTATTGGAATTTATCATATTCTAGTCAAAGAATATCAATCAAGTTATATACCTGAGTAATTCTACCAAGATTTTATTTCTAAATTCTAGATTACATGTTCTTTATAGAAAGACTGTAACTTTTAATAATAAATGTCTAACTGAAATACACACACACACAGTATTTCCTTGTAGTGATGAAACCATATTCTACCTTAATTCAACTTTCTACCTTGCAAAACTGGAAACCCTACATTTATTATCAACTTTTTCTTTTTAGTTCAATATTTATTAGGTTTAAAGTACTTTTTAAACTCTTTTTGCAAATTTCCGAATGTACTAAAAGTAGAGAGTACAGTGACCCCCATGTGTACCCATCACCCAGTTTCATCAACTTCTTGCCATACTTAAAAAAAACTCATTGTTTGCTAAAACATTTTAATCAAATTGATTCATCCTGTCATTTCATCCCTAAATATTTCATTATCTTAAAAATGTTTTTTTAACTACAGTGCATTATCACATCTAACAGAATTAACAGTAATTCCTTAATATCCTCTAATACTCAGTCCATATGCAAATTTACCTACTTACTAAAATAATTCTTTGTGTTTTTACAGTTGTGATCCAGATCTAAAATAGACCCACTTACTGTATTTGTTTTTTTTTTTTTTAATCGTCTATCACTCTTAATCAAAAACAGGTGTTCCTCCTCTACTTATTTCTTGCCTTTGTCTTGGGAAAGAAGCTTAGTCAATTATCTTATAGTATTCATGAGGTTGTTTAGTTCGTTCCTCCATATTTCTTGTAGACTAGAAGTTAGATCAAAGCCTTGTTTACATTCAGGTTTAGCTATTTTTTAATTTTAATTTTTTTTTTTTTTTTTTTTTTTTTTTGCCAGGAACACATAGATGGTACTGTTTCCTATTGCATTAATTGAGAAGGCACATAATGTTTGATTGTTGTACTTTTAGGGATACTAAGATTTAATGGTTGGGTTTACACGGTGACGACGTTATCTTTTTATTGTAGAGTTTCCTGCAGTCTTCTCTGTGGGATGCTAAAACCATTGATGATTGTTGCCTGAACCAATTATTTTAATAGGTGTTGCAAAATGACTGTTTTCTGTATTTTCTTTTCTTTTCTTTTTTTTTTTGGCAAACTTACTTTCTAATCTTGTCACTACCTCTGCATTTATTAACAGATGTTAACAACTCCTTGTATATCAGAGCTGTTTGGTTAACTTGAAATATGCTTTATGTCAGAAAAGCAGAATAAATAAAGAGAAAAATAAGCATCAATTTTCAGAGTAGTGCATTGGTGCCCTAGCAACCGCCATTGGTATACAGTGAATTTTGTTTCTCTCTTCTTTTTTTATTTTCCTTAAAAACATCTGGTAGTAAGGAGGATCTCTCTAAGTATCATTATGAACTCATGACTTTTTATATATTAATACATTTTAATAAATTAGAGTCGTTATTCCTTCTGTCTCACTATGTCTCATCTTTGGCCATTGGGAGCTCCTTCAGGCTGGCTTCTGTCTCCTTTTGATATAACCCCACTGGCCTTTGATAGCTTCATTACTTTTTGGCTGAAGAAAATATTCCACATTGATCTTAATCCATTTCTTGCCCCAGACATGGAATCATCTATTTTTCTAAGATTAGTTATTTTTAGTGGGGAATGATATTTAGAAATACATGTTAGGTGCTGTGTATTACGGGGTTGTCATTTCTTTTAAGCTTTTTCAGTGGACATAGCTGGAAACTATGTATTTTTAAAAAGGAAAAGATCATGAGTTTACATTGATACTTCTAAATTAAAAATTAAGATTTTAAGCTTTTCTTTTGCAAGGTTAGATGTTTTATTACAATATGTTCTTGAACTCCTGGCCAGGGGTGAAGGCAAGAGGATTGCTTGAGGCCAGGAGTTTGAGACCAGACTGAGCAACATAGTGAGACCCCATATCTTTTTTTTTTTTTTTTTTTTTTTTTTTTTGGAGACATGGTCTCACTCTGTTGTCCAGGCTAGAGTGCAGTGGTGTGATCATGGCTTGCTGTAACCTCAAACTCCTGGGCTCAAGTGATCTTTCCATCTCAGTCTCTCGAGTAGCTGGGACTACAGGCCTGCAACCCTGCACCCAGCTAATTTTTTTATTTTTTGTAGAGATGGGGTCTTGCTTTGTTGCCTAGGCTGGTCTTGAACTCCAGGGCTTGTGATCCTCCTGCCTTGGCTTCCCAAAATGCTAGGATTACAGGCATGAACCACCATGCCCAGCCGTGAGACTATCTCTCTAAGAAAATTTTTAATAAATTTGTAATGAAGTATACAGGAGGATGTGCATAAATTATATGCAAATACTATACCATTTTATTAATATATAAGGGATTTGAGCAACCAATGGAACCAATCCTATGCAGATACCTAGGGACCACTATATCCTGCCTTATGTGTATTTGTTGCCTGTATTATATCACAAGCCTTCAAGGAAAAAAAAAAAATTACAAGCCTTCAGTTATCTTGATGCCCAATGTAGTGTAATCTTTTCTTTCTCATTCTTGTACCTTGTACTGCAGCACACAGTTACATTCAATTTAATGTTTCATATTCATTCACTCTAGTATTTCATTACTTAGTACTTTGTTCTATGTTGGTTTGTATTTGCTTAATGGGTTTATGTCTTCTTTCAATACATTTGTAATTTCCTGGAGATCAAGACTTTTCCATCACTGTAGGAGGTTTTTAATGTTTTCAAATTAATGTATGAGAAAGGAGGCACAAATATTATATTAAAAGGATTAAAAAATAAAAACTTTGTCTATGTTTCTAGAATGTAGCTTTGAAGACACACACTCAAGGAAAATACTTTCAGATAGTCATTACTTTTTGGTGCCTGACCTCAATTCTTATTTGGTTTAGCTTCATTATTGGTGGCCTAGAACTTGGCTGGTAAGTAGGAGAGTTGGAAGCAAGGCTGGCTGCCTGGCAAAACCTACTTATGTTGACTTGGATTGCTTTTGATCTTATTTGCTATTTTATCAACTATTTTTATACTCCTAAATGAGTAGAATTTCTGTGGTTTTTATAGAAGAATGAGAACCAGAAAAGCCAGACTATTTACAACACTTTAAAAATGTGACACTAGTCCTATAATAGTACTGAAGCTACTTGTTATGAGACTGTGTTAATTTGTTTTATGATTAGCGTAGGAAGAAGCAGCTGAGGTGATATGTCCCATCTGTCTGCTTTCATCTTCCTTCCCTTTCACCCTCAAAGAAGATGCTGGAGATTCTTCAGGGAAGGATAAAAAGATTAAATTTAGAATATATTTGTATTTGTGTTAAGAAAATGTTTCTTGGGTTTGCTTATAGGTCCTGTTATTGCCTTGGAGTTTAATGGAGATGGTGCTGTAGAAGGATGTCAACTTATTGTAAACGAGATATTCAATGGGACCAAGGTACAAGATTTTATTGACTGTATTTCAATCTAACCTTTCATTTCATCTCCTGTTCCTTACAGTCAAATAATACTTTAATACTTTTGTCCCTAATGTTGCTTGGAATTTTTGTTTTGTGTGTGTGTGTTTTTTTAAAAACAGATCATGATTTTTAGAACCTTTCATAAATAATTGGGAACTAAGCTGTGATTTTTTTTCTTGCCAAACTAAAACTTTAATTGTTTAAAATAATTTAAAAATAAGAATCTATTTATTAAAAACTTTCTATAGTATATAAGTTTCTAAAGTAAAAAGTCTCATCAAATGTCTTTTCAAGTCTTCGCGTTTTTAAAAATACTGATTCGTTGAAAATATTTTATTTCTAAGATTATAGTTTTTAGATGGATGATCCTGTTGCCCAGGGTTCATTTTTACTTGATTCAGTAATGCTTCACCAAAAATTGAACTTCAGGTATATATAGAAATCATCACATGTAGGCATTTTCTAAATATATTGATGAAGTTGCTGTATCTAAGAATTTCAGACATAAATAAATTTAAAACCAAACATAGATTACATTAGCAAATCCATAATTGACTACTTTTTGATAAATACCTTGGAGGACATTTTGGTTTTGTCATCTGATTTGGCTTATGATTCCTTGCATTTACAAAAATTAAAGTACTTTGTCTTTGATCTCATTTTATCATCACAGTAGTACTAAGGGAGAGGGAAAATACCAGATTGAATAGAAAAGGAAACTGAGAGATAAAATGGTTATAATTTGGACTTTTAGAGCTGAATGATTTAGAGATTATCTAATCCAGCTTTCTCATTTTACAGGTGTAGTTACTGAGCCCACAGAGGTTTATTAAATTGTCAGCATCATACGCTAGTTTATGATAAAGCTAGAATAGAACCCCCATCTGCTCTAATTCCTTGCTGACATTTGTAAAAGCTACTTTAGAAGGGTTTTATTGAGTATTGCTTCATTGATGTTTAGCAAATAGCTTATTTCAAAATACTAGGCTGGGTGTGGTGGCTCACACCTGTAATCCCAGCACTTTGGGAGGCTGAAGCAGAAAGATTGCTTGAGCCCAGGAGTTCAAGACCAGTCTGGGCAACATAGTGAGACTCTACAAAAAGTAAAACAAACAAACAAACAAACAAAAAAACAACTAACTAGGTGTGGTGGTGCACACCTGTAGTCCCAGTTACTTGGGAGGCTGAGGCAGGAGAATCACTTGAGTCCAGAAGTCTAGCTGCAGTGAGCCACTGCACTCCAGCCTGGGCAACAGAGCAAAACTCTGTCTCAAAAATAAAATAAAATTAAATTAAAATAAAATAAAAAATAGTAATATATCTTTAGCAGCTTTGAAAGGGATAATCTCAAGTTTTGCTGCTCAGACTACTGAGATTATTATTAGAAAACAGAAGAAACAAGGATTTTTTTAAGTGACTCTTATTCAGTATATTGAGTGTTGTAAAAGTCCAGATGTAATAAAATACAACTCAAGTATTATGAAAGCAGAGACCTTAATTATATAAGTGCTTCCAAAAGAGCTTAATTTACATTATAGCTATTCAAACCGTATTACATGAATTCTAAAGAAAATCTACAGATTAAATATTGTCATTATAAATGATGTACTTGAACTTCTTTTGAAGAATTAGCTTGGGACTTTGTTCCGTGGAGAACATGGGCTTTGGCATTCTGAAGTACTTGGTACTTATTTTTTTTTTTTAATTTTCTATTTAAAATAGATGTTTGTATCAGAAAGCAAGGAGACGGCATCTGGAGATGTAGACAGCTTCTACAACTTTGCTGATATACAGATGGGAATATGAAGTGCAATGTGGAACCAGGACTTGGTATTAAGCCTTTCCCAACTTGTGAATATAGAATTTGATAATATGCTTTTGTGTATTAGCAATGGTTTTTACTAATGCTAAAACTGTTAAAGTTTATTTTTTAATAAATTGTTGACTATTACATCATTTACTTGAGGTTCAAAAATAATTCATTTTAAATTAAGTAGTTTTAATCAGCTTAAAAGCTATTTAACCCACTTTAATAAGCTTGCAGTTTTGCTTCTCCACATATGATATTCTTATTAGAAAATAGAAGTAGCTAACAGTTTATTATTTTAATCCTATTTAAATGTTCTTTCAAATCTCTAATAATGTAAACTTTCCTCAGTGCTCCATGATACTTTTTTTTTAAGACTACATTTCATTGCTTATTTTACCTTTTTCAATTTAGAGGGATTTGTTACTAGTTGATGAATTAGAATGAACCTATGCACATTTTTATGTACACATATCCAGTTATATAATTGCTTCCTAGTTGCATTATATGGCAAATGAGATTTTGTACATAGAGTTGACATGAGACTTTGTAAATTGAATTTTTTAAAGAAATAGGCATTTGATAACCAGCTTGGCAAGTAACTCTACTAACAGATGTTGGTATAGCTATTTAAAGACTACTTCGTAAGTAGTATGATTATTTGAATAAATTCCACATTGTTTAGTTTTTTAATGCAACTGCTATATGACTCTTCTGCTTCCTGGTAAGAAAAGGTATATGCAATACTAAAACTATAGAAGCCCAATCACCAGCAGTTTTTAAAAAGGTGATAACTTGTATTAGCTCTTGCGGGCTATCAAGAGAATTGTGACTTTTAGGTAAGAAATAGGCATGATGATAAGCTATGCAGATTATTAAAAAGCTTGATACATTTAGTTTTTCATTAGATATGCCATTCATATCAAGTAATGTTCAAGTATGATAAAATTATTTTGGTTGCTTTAAAGCACTGTTTCCCAAATCTACCTGATCATAATAATTTACTAGGAAGCAGAGGAGAGCTACTTGTTTAAAAATCCACATTCTTGGACCCAGTCCTCAGATGCACGGATTCAGTCTTCAGGGGAAACTCTGTTTTAAGCGGTATGTTGTAATCTAAAGTAATTGGTTCAGGAGGTGTCAATAGGTTGAACTTGTGAGAAGGCACTGAATCTGCCATCCGCATCACATATAGCAGCTATTATGAAATCAGCTTTCATAGGCCTATTTTTAAAAGGAATCTGAAATTTAATTCTATTTTGATAAAACAAAGACTGCAAATAACCACTTATAAACATTCCTATGATTGTTACTAAAATGTATTTTCATGTTTAAAATGTTTTTGGATATTTTTGGGTTAATAACTACTACATTGAATTGCATGTTAAGGTGCAAAAATAATACATTAAAAGATTTTCACTTTAAATTAATTAGTAGTATTGAGCGCTCACCCTGTGCGTGGCCTTGTGCTAACCATTAGCACTGCATCATTTCAATTCTTTTATAAGGGCATTCAATACTACAAAATCAATATGATTTCATAAGGTGCAAATAAAAGTTGGTGACAGATTTAATATAATTTTGATCACAATTTACAAATGATCTTTGCAAATAGTGGTCAGAGGGCATTAGTTTTTCCCTTAGTTAAGCTAAATTAAAGGGACTCCATCCTGTTATGATTATTATTATTATTATTTTGAGATGGAGTTTCACTCTTGTTGCCCAGGCTGGAGTGCAATGGCGTGATCTCGGTTCACCACAACATCTGCCTCCTGGGTTCAAGCTATTCTCCTGCCTCAGCCTCCTGAGTAGCTGGGAATACAGGCATGTGCCACTATGCCTGGCTAATTTTTGTATTTTTAGTTGAGATGGGGTTTCTCCATGTTGGTCAGGCTGGTCTCGAACTCCTGACCTCAGGTGATCCGCCCACCTCAGCCTCACAAAGTGCTGGGATTACAGGTGTGAGCTGCTGCACCTGGCCATGATGATATTTATTAAACACCATTATTCACATTTAAAATAATAACAATACTTTTTGTTTTTCAAAAATAAAATGCAATGTTATATAAAGCTATAAACTGAGTTCTTTATGATATTTGAGCAACAACAACTCAGGAATATAACATGTAAGGGAGATGTTAATTTAAAATTTTCCACTAAACTTACTATCTATTAACCAAAGCTTAAAATTTTGTATTCTTCAGTTAGATAAGACCTTTTACCCATTTAATTTGTCTTTAAGGACAGTCATTTGGCTTCTGAATGTTTGAAACGATTTTAAAAAATAAGTAGTGCTATGGTGGTTATTTCTATAATTCTAACCTTTGATAGTAATCAGAATGTATTACATTTCATTTCTGAATAGCTTTTGAATTTATGAAAAATTATTAACAATGAAAAATTGGTAATTTTATGTTTAAATATTATGTTAGCTTATTTCTCTTGCATTAATAGTACTGCTGTTTTTGTTTTGCTTCTTTATATTTATGTCTAGCTTTTATATGTAATTTATCTAGTTTATAAAATGTGATTTGTAATAAATGTTAAAATGAAAATGACTGCAATGGTTTGGATATGGTCTGTTTGTCCCCACCAAAGCTCATGTTGAAATTTGATCCCCAGTGTGGCAGTGTTGGGAGATGGGGCCTAGTGGGAGGTGTCTGAATTATGCAGCCCAATCCCTCCTGAATGGCTTGGTCCTGTCTCTAGAGAGACTGGATTAGCTCCCATGAGAGTGAGTTGTTATAAAGCAGGGTTATAAAGCCCTCAGGGTTTCCTTCTGTTTGCTAATGTCCACTTCCCCATTAACCTTCTCCACAATGTTGTGATGTAGCACAAAAGCCTTCACCAGAAGCCAGAGCCATGCCCTTGAACCTCTCAGCCTACAGAACCCCTTTTCTTTACAAAGAACCTCTTTTCTTTAAGAGAGCCTACAGAACCTCTTTTTTTCTTTTATTTATTTTTTTGAGACCGAGTCTCCCTCTGTCACCCAGGCTGGAGTGCAGTGGCGTGATCTCGGCTCACTGCAACCTCCGCCTCCCAGGTTCAAACGATTCTTCTTCCTCAGCCTCCACAGGCACATGCCACCATGCCCGACTAATTTTTGAATTTTTAGTAGAGACGGGGTTTCGCCATGTTGGCCAGGCTGGTCTCGAACTCCTGACCTCCAGTGATCCAGCCGCCTTGGCCTCCCAAAGTGCTGGGATTACAGGCATGAGCCACCTTGCCCGGCCCAGAACCTCTTTTCTTTATAAATTACCCAGTCTCAGACATTCTTTTATAGCAACCTGAAATGGACTGATAAAATGACTTACCACTAAGAGCACTCTATAACATGCATTTACTCATACATGTGCCAAAACTTGACGTAATTTTTTAAATATTAAATGTAAAATGCTCTAATCTACATTTTATGTTAATGAGATATGAGCTGTGAGCTCTGTGTGTGTGTGTGTGTGTGTGTGTGTGTGTAAGACGCTGGAGCAATGTGAAGGAAGTAGAAAACCTATTTTAATCTGAGGAATTTCCAATATAATGCTTCCTTTGTTTAAAGGAATTTTACTTTGAATTTTATTATGAATGGATAGTAAGATTAGGTATCTTTCTCTTCCATATTTAACAAAAATAGGGATACACTTTCAGGTTTATACAAATGGACCTTATTTTAAAATTACAAATTTTCCAGTCTTTTGTACCCAACTTCTCCCTCTCCTAGCCCATAAATCAGAAGGACTGAAACAACTGCAGATTGATTAGTTTTTAAAATAACATTTATCATTTTTATAAAGGTTCTGCATGTACACTTGCAGCATTTGGAGCACTAAGAAAAAACATGCATAAAACAATAACAAAAATTTTTTTTTATTGGATAACTCTTTAAGTAGTGACAGCCTGGATTATTGGATAATTTTTTTTTTTTTTTTCCTGAGATGGAGTTTCACTCTTGTTGCCCACGCTGGAGTGCAATGGCATGATCTTGGCTCACTGCAACCTCCGCCTCTTGGGTTCAAGTGATTCTCCTGCCTCAGCCTCCTGAGTAGCTGGGATTATAGGCGTGTGCCACCATGCCCAGCTAATTTTTGTGTTTTTAGTAGAGACAGGGTTTCACCATGTTGGCCAGGCTGGTCTCAAACTCCTGACCTGAGGTGATCTGCCCAACTCGGCCTCCCAAAGTGCTGGGATTACAGGCATGAGCCACTGCCCCCAGCCAGATTATTGGATAATTCTTGATGTTTAAAATTTGTTTTTCTCATTTAAAAGGGACATACTTAGCTGTTTGTTGTTGTTATTGCTGTTGTTTTGGAGATGGAGTTTCACTACGGAGTGCAATGATGCAGTCTCAGCTCACTGCAACCTCTGCCTCCTCAGTTCAAGCAACTGTCCTGGCTCAGCCTCCTGAGTAGCCAGGATTACAGGTGCCCACCACCATGCCCGGCTAATCCAGCTATTTTTTGTATTTTTAGTAGAGATAGGGTTTTACCATATTGGCCAGGCTGGTCTCAAACTCCTCACCTCAACTGATCTGCCTGCCTTGGCCTCCCAAAGTGCTGGGATTACAGGAGTGAGCCACCGCACCTAGCCATACTTAACCATTCTCTATAGGAAGAGAAAGTATTATAATTAGGGTATGATCACTCCTTCAAAACTCATTCTAGAAAATATTTTATCCTTCAAAACTACAACACGAAGAAAGCTAAACTTCATTTGAATTTTCATAATAGAAATCTTTTTTGTGAAAATGGAGTCATTCACTGTTGACTTCTTTTTTGTAGATGGGGTAGGGTAATAAGCCTTTAAAATACTTCACTACTTTCCTTATATATTTTGGTTCTTAGTGGCAAGCTCCAGCAAGATGTTCAGAAATGGCCATTTCTTCCTTTTCTAGTGTTTCAGTGCTTTCCTGGTGAGGGCTGTTTCTCACCTATAAAAACTGTGAGCATAAGTCATACACAGCCCCACCATTCTCACCTTGGCTTGGATCCTCCCTCTGGGGCCTGCCTTTACTCTTTCAGTTTTATCTGGTCCACTCCTAATTGGACTAATGAAAATTAAATTGCAAATTGTGTGACAAGTAATTAACTGATGTTTGTAAAGTGCCTTGAAAATGAAAGGTACTTTATAAATATTAAGCATTATTGTGCTGAGCAAAATGAGTAGAGTAGGACTCCCCGCTTATCTGCAGTTTCACTTTCTGTGGTTTCAGTTACCTGTGGTCAACCAACAGTCTCAAAATACTGTGAGTACAGTATAAGAAGATATTTTAAAAGATACCACCTTCACATAACTTTTATTACAGTATATTGTTATAATTGTTCTGTTTTATTAATCTCTTACTGTGCTTAATTTATAAATGTTATATGTATTTATGTATGTATATAAGGAAAAATCATAGTTTATATAGGGTCTGGTACTATCCATGGTTTCCGGCATCCACTAGGGGTCTTGGAATGTATCGCTGCCAATAAAGAGAGACTTCTATATGGTATTCTTTTAAAGTAGTTCAGCTGTGAAGCCATACACCCGGCCACAAATAGGCAACTGAATAGGAAAAAACAAGTGCAAGATGCTGCTAAGACTTCCTGCGGTTTGGGCCAGGCACAGAGGCTCACGCCTGTAATCCCAGCACTTTCGGAGGCCGAGGTTGGAGGATCACTTGAGGTCAGGAGTTCAAGACCGGCCTGGACAACAAGGTGAAACCTCATCTCTACTAAAAATACAAGACTTACTGTGGTTTTCCTATTGATTGATGTACTTTCATTTGTCAGATGTATGTTGGTTTATTAGGTGAACTGACAGGACCTTTTATACTTTTTATTTATTTATTTATTTTTTGAGATGGAGTTTTTGCTCGTTGCCCAGGCTGGAGTACAATGGTACGATCTTGGCTCACTGCAACCTCCGCCTCAGTTCAAGCAATTCTCCTGCTTCAGCCTCCCAAGTAGCTGGGATTACAGGCACTCAACACCAAACCCAGCTAATTTTTGTGCTTTTAGTAGAGATGAGGTTTCACCATGTTGGCCAGCCTGGCCTCGAATTCTTGACCTCAGGTGATCCACCCGGCTTGGCCTCCCAAAGTGCTAGGATTACAGGCATGAGCCACCGCACCCAGCTTAGAACCTTTTATACTATTTCACCCTAACTTCTAAACAGATCTTATGTTAAATATTTTAAAATTTGTCTCACAGTAATCTGGTTTTAGGATCACGTAGGGTTTGGACATTTTTAATCCCTCATTTTACTGATGAGGAAGAAAATTGAGGCTGGGCACAGTGGCTCACGCCTGTAATCCCAGCACTTTGGGAGGCCAACGCAGGTGGATCACCTGAGGTGAGGAGTTTAAGACCAGCCTGGCCAACGTGGTAAAACCCCGTTTCTACTAAAAATACAAAAATTAGCTGGGTGTGGTCACACGCCCCTCTAATCCCAGCTACTTGGGAGGCTGAGCTAGGAGAATGGCTTGACGGGAGGTGGAGGTTGCACTGAGCTGAGATTGCGCCACTGCACTCCAGCCTGGGTGATAGAGTGAGACTCCATTTCAAAAAAAAAAAAAAGAAAGAAAATTGAGGGCCAGAAAGTTTAGACGGCCTGTCCAACTCATACCATAGTCACTGAACTTTAATGTTGACCTCTTGACTTTCTCCCTGTGATTACCAGGAGAAGACTCAGCCCATCCATCCCCTTCTGTATGAAGCCTTTTCTAATACTCTG